GACATGCAATATTCACAACACTGTCTAATCAAAAAATATATATATACCGTACCTATACTACAAATATATATATATATATATATATATATATATATATATATATATATATATATATATATATATATATATATATATATATATCACCAATTTATATACAAACAAACATACATATCTATCGCCATTTTTTATACAAACATCTCCAATGATTGCAATATCCACAAGTCTATTTAGGTCAGAGATGAAAAATCGTGGAGATGACCTATCGCTAATCACATTACGAAGCAGTCCGGGGGTCAATTTGCCGACGGGGTCATTTTTGATAGAGGGTCACTGGGGGGCTCGTCAGGTCAAATTGCTCGTTAACCTCGACGATTGGTCAGTTTCACCTTGATGAAGTTACACCCTCATGACGCACTGTGTGTGTGTGTGTGTGTGTGTGTGTGTGTGTGTGTGTATGTGTGTGTGTGTGTGTGTGGCCATAGCTAGTAACTGTGGCCATGAATAATATCTTTGGCCATGAATAGTAACTATGGCCATGAATAGTAACTGTGGCCATAACTGGAATGACTATGGCCATAACTAACAAATATGGCCATAACTGCAGTAACTATGGCTATAACTAGTAACTGTGGCCATGAATAGTAATTGTGGACATGATTAGTTACTGTGGTCCATGAATAGTAACTATGGCCATAACTGGAGTACCTATGGCCACAACTAATAACTGTGGCTATAACTTGTAACTGTGGACATGAAGAATAACTGTGGCCATGAAGAATAACTGTGGCCATGAAGAATAAATGTGGCCATGAATAGTAACTGCGACTATGAATTGTAACTGTGGCCATGAATAGTAACTGTGGCCATGAAGAATAAATGTGACTATAAATAGTAATTGTGGCCATGAATAGTACCTGTGGCCATGAATAGTAACTGTGGCTATAACCCATTTGTAATTGTCGTTAAAGCTAAGAATAAAAGTTTAAACAATTGTGGATTATTTTTTAATTAAGAACATAAGAACATAAGAATGGAGGAAACTGCAGCGGGCCTATTGGCCCATACTGGGCAGTCCCGTTTACACCCAACCCCTATTGCTCATATGAGCATCCAACCTATGTTTGAAGCAATTCAGCGTATTCGAGTTAATGATGATATTTGGTAACTTGTTCCATTCATCCACTACTCTGTTTCCAAACCAGTGTTTACCTATTTCACGCCTAAATCTAAATTTGTCTAATTTAAAACCATTGTTACGAGTTCGCTCCTGGTTGGATAATTTGAGTACCTTTGTAATGTCCCCTTTGTTTAGCCCTGCCTTCCACTTATACACCTCTATCAGGTCGCCCCTCGCTCTACGTCTCTCAAGGGAGTGCAAATTAAGATGCTTTAACCTGTCTCTATACTCAAGGTTCCGAATGCCCGGGATTAGTCTTGTCATTCTCCTCTGAATTCTTTCCAAGGATTCTATATCCATTCTGTAATACGGTGACCAGAACTGAACTGCGTAATCCAGGTGTGGTCTCACAAGAGCAAGATACAGTTTTAGGATGACCTCGCTAGTCTTGTAACTAACACTCCTTTGTATGAACCCCAGTACTTTGTTAGCCTTGTTACGAGCAAAAACACATTGTTTACTTGGCTTAAGGGTCCTACTTATCATTACTCCTAAATCCCTCTCGCTGTCGGATTTCTCTATGGCATCGTTGTTCATCTGGTATCTGGTTTCCCTGTTTACATCTCCTATACTGAGTACTTTACATTTGTCAACGTTGAATTTCATCTGCTATTTTTCAGACCATTCGAAAAATTTGTTTAGATCTTCCTGTAGTTTTGCCGAGTCCTCGTCAGATTTGATAACACGTCCTATTTTAGTGTCATCAGCAAATTTACTTATGTTGCTGTCTATGCCGATATCTATGTCGTTTATGTATATAATAAACAATAATGGTCCAAGTACTGAGCCTTGGGGAACTCCACTTGTGACGTTGCTCCAATGGGACTTAGTGCCGTTAATGCTCACTCGCTGTTTCCTGTCCTGTAACCACGCCCTAATCCATTTAAGGATGTCACCTTTGATGCCATGAGCTTCTACCTTTCTAATTAGTCTTTCGTGGGGGACTCTGTCGAAGGCTTTGCTAAAGTCGAGATATACCACATCATAATTGTGCCCCTCGTCCACCGATTCGAAAACTGATGAAAAGAATGTTAATAGATTAGTTAGGCAAGAACTCCGCTTGTGAAGCCATGCTGGGAATCATTGATCAATCAGTGCTTCTCCAGGTGATTTCGAATAGAGTTTGAAATGATTGCTTCCAGTAATTTGCCTACTATTGATGTTAGACTGATTGGGCGGTAGTTAGAGGATAGTGATCTATCCCCCTTCTTGAAAATCGGTATTACATTCGCTATCCTCCAGGATTCTGGTACTACACCTGTTTTTAAGGACATGTTAAACAACTTTGCTAAGGGCATACTGAGCTCTTCCTTACATTCCTTT